GCTCCCGGCCACCGCAGCCTCGACCTGCTGGACTCCAGCGATCCTTCCACCTCAGCCTTCTGAGTAGTCGGAATTACAGGTATGTGCTACCACGCCCGGCTGATTTTTTGATTCATTGTAGAGATGAGGTCTCACTGCCCAGGCGGGTCTCGAACCTGCAGTCTCTAGCAATCTACTCACCTCAGCCTCCCAAAGGCACGGGATTACAGGCTGAGCCACCCAGCCCGGTTATTTCAACATTTTTAATGTTGGCATAGATTGATTCTGTGTTTCATTTCACTTATAGGAAACTAACAAAATAGAGAAAATATCTACATTTGTAATGAGTAGCTGAATCCGGGCTCGGTGGCTCAGCCTGTAATCCCGTGCTTTGGAAGACTGAGGTGAGTGAATTGCCTGGGCCTGTGGGTTCGAGACCCACCTGGGCAACTTGGCAAGACCTCATCTCTACAATAAATCAAAAAAATTAGCCGGGCATGGTAGCGCGTGCCTGTAGTTCCAGCTACTTGGAAGGCTGAGGCGGAGGGATCGCCGGAGCCCAGCAGGTCGAGGCTGCGGTGGCCGGGAGCATGCCACTGCACTCTAGTCTGGGCGACTGAATAAGACTCCAACTCAAAAAAATATATATATATCTTTAACTTATTAAAAATTTTGCTTAAAAATTTGATAAAGCAAGATTTATTGTCATAAAATTAGAAACTTGGCCATTGTTCCATGGATCAAGTCAATAATTATTTTTTAAAATCTCTAGAATAAGTAACAGAATAATTACACAAAATATGGTTCATATAGTAACTATTAGGAGTTCTTCTTCATAAACATTTATAAAAGGACTATTTTGGTCTCTAGATGATTAAACTGATGTCCTTTGAAAGGCTAAGTCTTGCATATAGATGTATCTATGAACGATTCTGTTGTATGAGTCCTTAGGACTCACTGCACATCTTTGTGGGGAAGCAATGGGGAACTGCAGGTAAGAAAAGCAGAGACCCTTGAATCAGATGGTCTGAGATTGAAGCCTGGCTCTGCTGCTTATCAGCACTATGACTCTGAGCAAGTTATTGAACATCTTTGTGCCTCATTTTGTTACCTGCAGAGTGGAGATAGAGATAGCATCTACTCAGAAGGTAGTTTTGAGAATTAAGTGAGTTAATACATTTCCCCTATGTTGAACATTGCCTGGTACAGAGTAAGTACTCCTGAAAGTTTTAGCTAATCTTTGATATACTTTGATTTTTTTTTTTTTTAAAACATAGCCAGTTAAAAGTTGCTTACCAATCTGGGATCAACTTCTTCATTAAGAACAGCTTCATTCTTTATAAGTGCTACTCGTTGTGCAAATCTGCAGGTAGATATAGACTCCTAAGAAAGCAAAATAACTTCTTAAAATATTATGGCATAGACATAATTTTTAGTCATGGAAAAATGATGCACGCCTAAAGAGTGATGTGTACTTAAAAAATCACAATGAAGAAATATACCTCAGAATTAGGAAACTTTGTTCTAGAACATTATCTGTTAATCACAATTTTGTTTTGGCTTAATAAAATGATCAATGCTCAAAAGTAGGAAATCCCAAGATCATAAGTGGCGATTGGCACAGTATGTGTTTTCAACTATTGATTTGTTAAACCAGAACCACCTATGTAAATCATAATCACAGCAGGTACCACAATCCACAAACATGAAAGACTACAAAATAAATATTGTAACAGACCAAAAAGAGAGGCTTTTCAAAGCACCTTACAATCAAAGGCCTGGCCTTGTTTTGAGAAGCACCCTGCCTCTTCCTGTTTTCCTCTTTTGGAGACTGTCTGAATCTCAAACATTAAGCTGAATGCATGAAACATCAGCTGGCTCTAAAGTAACCTAGAAAAGTCATTTGGCAACCAGCCCCTGCCAAAGCATCCTGGGTGCTGCATCTGCTTACATGTCTAGGGTCACATCTTGGGGATATCTTCCAGGTATCCAGAACTTAGTCATCAGGAGCATAAACAAGCCTGAGAAGCTGATGAGTCACCTCTCTCATTTCTTTGAGTGAGATAACTAACTCACAGCAGGCCTTCCAAAATCTGTGTTTAAGGCTTCTTCAAATCATCCTGTGCTATGTGAAGTCAGTTTTCAACTGGAGTTATTATAATACTGGCAAATAACCCCAAGCTGTGACTCCTGGAAGCTATTCACCCCTGAAGGCAAATCTCAACTCAGCTGAAAAGATGGAAACCTACCCGGGACCCTCAACTCTATCTCATGAACTAGCAGTAAAAACTCAGATTAAGATTTCCAGAAAGAAGAACCAGCATACATCAATATTCCTCTTCTCCAAAGAGAGTGTTGCAATCATAGTTGTCATGCAGTTCCCTCCCAAACTGTCTCTTAGGACACTGGTCATCATGGAGTTCCTATAAGGAATGTGTGAGCGGTGTTTTTCTGAAAGGGCAATGATAACCTGTGGGAAAGCAGAAAATTAATGGCATTAACCAAGCAGAAAATGCACACCTGACAAGCAATTGAGCTTCAACATCAATTAAAACAAAAACAAAAACAAAAAAACCCCTAAATTCAGGGTGACATTCAAAATTTGAACACAGAATAAATATTTTAATAACAACATTCAACATACAAATAGTAAAGAAGGAATAAATACATGTGGTATAAACATAGCACTATGAGCCCTGTAACTTTTGGACGGATGAAATAACTTGTATAGAATTGGATATATTATTATTTTTTTAAATCATTATTTTTTATTTTAATATTGTGGGGTACAGTTAAGGATTAGGTATACAAATATGCTTCGTTCAGACACCCTTGTTGATAAAGGTGTCTCCCTATCCCCAGACAGATATTGACTACCGTTAATCCCACCTCCCTTCCCCTCCCTGCCCCCCATAGTTTCCCACTACTGTCAATCCTTTTCTTATAGTATTATGATAGATGTTCAAGGTCCACTATATGAGTGAGAACATGTGATACTCAGATCTTCGTTTCTGTGAAGAATTGGATATATTATTTACCTATTGGAAAATTTGTATAAAAACACAAGACTACATCATACCTGTTTACTTTAATCCTACCAAGATTGGGCCATATACCTAATCTCCAAGGTAGAATTGGAAGAACAGTAAGTAAGAATTGAGAGAAACAGAACAGAGTGATGGTTGAGGTCCCAGACTCTGATGCAAGTTTGTCTATGTGCAAGTGTTAGTCTTACTAGGGCATGCCATTCAACATCTCTGCCTCAGTCCCCTAATCTGTAAAATAGGGATAAAAATAGTACCTATCTCACAGGTAGTTGAGATTATTAAATGAGTTAAAATGTGCAAATTACTTTGAATAGTACCTGGCCCACAGTAAGTGTTGTATACTTGTTCGCTATCATTGTAAAAGGGTTAGTTTGCCTAGGTTCAACTTAGGCTTGCTCATCTTACTCTTCATGCATTTCTTAGGTACTTCATAGGCAGATACTAGATGGATGGAGGGCAGATAAATGAAAGGCTGCTGGGGTTGTCCCAAAGGGAGTCACCAGGGTTTCAGAGTTATTCTAGGCAGATAAATCCAGTACTGGGATGTTCATTACAAAGCAGTAGGAACCAACCATCCACAGAAAGTATTCTTCAGAGGCACTGTGACATCCTGGCTCCTGAAAATATCTTCGCCAACACTTGCCATTGTTGTAGTCCTCCCTCCTCCCAGGTGGGTAATTCCCATCATCAGAGCCTCTTCCCCACCTTTGGTATACAAAACAAGAAGGAAGCATTGCTTTCTGAAGGCTTTTTTGAGCAAAACATACAGCTCTACCACTGGTTTCACTTTACATTCATGACTACAGATGTTACTGCACTTCAGCAACCTGTGATCTCTCTCTCAAAAACCACTTTTCTACTCTCCAAAATGAAGTCTTCACCCTTTCTCCTCTTTCTTCAACCCTCTATCCACCTTCCCCTCCTCTCTCCAATTTCAGTTTAAGCTGCTGTCCACATTTTTACTAGGCATAAGATAGACATAGATATCAGCAACCTGATCAGAATTACCTCATGCCTCTGTCACTAAATCCTCTGTGCACTCTGCCCTTCACCTGTCACCGCTCTGCTCCTGTCTATGCCAGCCCTCTATCCTTTCCCTCTTCTGCTCTCACCTACTTTCTCCTACAATGATCTTCTCTCTCTTCTTCACTAATTTCTCTCTCCCATCTGGACAATTTTCATCTGCAATCTTCAGAGCCACTCAGAAATGACAGGTTTTCAGGAACAAGGCAGAGGTAGATTATTATTTGTGAGGCTGCTGTGGGTCCCCTAAATTGAGTAGGAACCAAATGATCTTCTGAATGGCACAGGGGAAGGGGGTGGTAATACAACCTGACTTTAAAAAAAAATGTTTACTTCTATTTTGGATTCATGTGTAAATAAAATGGAAAATGTTTCTGAAGGCATTCTTTATTTTTAATGTAACAATTTTTTTGGGAGGGCTTCTATTAGTCTTCATCTGGTTTAGGATCAGGTATCCTTATTGATATTATGTGCCCCCCCCACCCTCCACTGGCAGTGTTCCACTATTGCCAATCCCTTTCTTGTAGTATTATGATAAATATTCAGGGTCCACTTATGAGTGAGAACATGTGGTATTCAGTTCTTTGTTTCTGTGCTAGATCACTGAGTATGACAGACTTTAAATCCATCCAAGTTGCAGCGAAGTTCATAATACTGTCCTTCTTTATGACTGCATAATATTTCATTTTATATATGTATCACTTTTTTTTATCCAGTCCACTTCTGATGGGCAGCATGGTTGATTCCATATTTTTGCTGTTGTGAATAGTGCTGCAATAAACATGCATGCACAGGTATCTTTTTTGTAGAATTATTTGAGTTCCTCTGGGTATATTCCCCGGGAGGGGGATAAAGAGTGGAACCTCACATTATACTTAATAACACTTCAAAATATCTAGAAACTGTGATTGGAATAGATAATTCTATTTACTATTTAATGAGTTAAAGAGTTTTTTTGTTTTGTTTTGTTTTTTAAAGTGCTCAGAAGGGCATGGAAAATTATCCTAGAAAAACTGACAAAGATTCAGAGTGGTTACAATGGGCACTGGCACCATAAGTTTTTCTTCTGAACACAACACATTCAGTGGAAGCCAAATGGAAATTGAAACCCTGGAAAAGTGCCATTTATGTTAAATAATGGCTGTAGGCAACCCTGATTCTGATTTCTGCAGTGGTAGAGGGCAAACACTCTTCATTCCCAGTGGTTTTTCACTTGATGTTTGGGCTGATGGAGACCGCAGGTCACACCAGGAGCACTCAGTGAGGTTTAGCACAAGTATGCACGTCCCCCTTTCTTTCCTCCCATGGACTCTGTTTCCATGGCCAAGATGTACTCTGTTATTGTGGCTTAAAATGCTTCTGAGAAACTTTTTGGAAAAAGGACTACACATACAAGAATTCCAAGACCAATAATACTCCAGCAGAGAGAAAATTATTTACTTATGAACACAGTAAGGTACACTCAACTCAGGTTGCACACTTTAAGCAGGTGTGAGGTCTCACAGCTATGGCCAGGAGGGCAGCTATCGTTCTGTATGGAATTTGTGGAACTGATGTAGGCTCATTAATGTAAGACACAGGTTCCCAAACTGCTTCCCATTCTATCTCTATCTTATATATTGAGACTGAGAAAGAGCGGATGTAATTAATGACCAACACTTAAGTGGATTTCTATGACAGATTTGTCTTAGTGTACTATTATGTATTTGTATGCTTTACTGTTTTGCTGACAGTTCAAGCAGCTTTTTAGTCATACACTTATCCCCATTATCTAATATAACTCATACCATCTAGTAAATAGTCACAATTTGTTGAATGAATGAATTAATGAAGCCAGTTAAGCTGTGTTACACTTCCAGGCTTATTCACCACATAATACAGTACTACATAAGGATAATTTGATTATAAAAGTCCTTGAATTTTGTTATCTCATTAAATATCTTCCCATTCTTTCTATTATTCTTATTCCTATGTACTCCTTGGTTTTCTTTCACATATCTTTCCTCTTCCTGGGTAAAATTCAGAATTTCTCTTCCACCCATCTACTTGCTCTCTAGCAGCTACTTCTAGATTTACTCAACCTCACATACCCTCGTTCACATACTGCAGTTTTTCCATATTTATGTCCTTTCCTCCCATGCAAATCTTTTCTCCACTTTCCATTATCTTATGCAGAAACTCCTATTTTCCTGTGAAGAAACTTGTATAATAGTGTAAACAGTTAACAACTAGAGTGATGCAGCAGGTGAAAATGAAACAGAAACAGATAAATTACATTCAGAGAGCCAAGGGCCAATGACATGTGAATGTCTTTGAGATTCTGAGCAAATCAGTTCCCAGGCACCAGAGCTAGGAGCTGAGAGGCAATTCCCACTGCCTGACATGCTCTAATTCTCATCCTTGCCTCTCTTTCATGCTTCCAGTCTCTGCTTGGTAGCAGGCCCTGAGAAAATTGTTATTAACTCTCACTTCCTCAGTCTAGTTCAAACCTTCCATGACAAGCTCTCTTCTCTCCTTTTACTTTATCTTCGTATCTCATCTGCATTACAGATGCATACTTAATGACCACTTATGAGTACTTAATGCAAGGCTCCCTACACTGAACCATGGGATCTTTGGGGCAAGGGCTATTTCTATCTTGTTCACCACTATGCTCTAGTGCTGAGCACAGCCCTCAGCACATTATAGGTCATTATAAATATGTGTTAGCTAAAAACATTAAGAATATAGAAAAATCAAATGCCACATAGCTACCAAGACTACTCATATGCAGCTGATGTTACAAGAATTTTGAAGAGAAAAAATGTGAGGAGAGGAGTAGTTTTAGTGACAAGCAGCAGTTTGCAAAGGTTTACAGAATAAAGAAAAAAGATAAAGGATAGAACATTTCTCTTGAGTGATTACAATTGGTGGGAAGTCTGATTCGATGGGTGAATATAATTTTGTATGAACAGATGGATATAATGGAAATTAAAACCAACAGTGCTACCATCTGAAACAAGCAGATACATTTCTTTGAAGTTAAGCACTTTGAACACAGTCCATTATGTTTTCATATCAATGTTTTATAAGTGTCCTATTAAGTGAAAAGCTCTGTTAAGTATAAGTAGTGTGTATTATTTGAGCAAGAAAGAGCTCAAGAATGCTGACTCTTGTCAAAAACCTTAAAATGATCTGAATGCCAAGAAGGTTTTAATCTCTGGATGCTACATTACCGGGATTTATCTGGTTGGAGCCCAACCGTGCACACCTTGTTCAGACGAAGTACCTTAGGGTTCTCTCAATCTGCTTTTTCAGACAACATGACCATTATTAAGCATTTAACATCAGGACAACACTAGTCTCAAAAGGACTCATCAAGCAGTCAAAAAAAGTTTTGTTTTTTCCCTCCTCAAATGTTTTAGCCCCCAACATTCATGAACAAGTCCTTCTGCCTCACCAATAGATGCTACTGCTCCACTCCAATTTTTGATCATGTTTCTCTTTTTTTAGAATTTGGAAGTAGTTGCTATCTTTAACATTCAACTCACAGAACTTATACTCACAAAGCTAAATGGAACTTGAAAAATCATCTAATTCAATCCACTCATTTTAGAGATGAATTTTTTTTCTTCTGAAAGATGTATTTAGCTAAATTCAGATAAGCTTTCCCTGTCTTTGGAGTCAAATTCAGAAATAAAAAATTGAGCACTTACTGGAGTGGATTGTAGTCAAGGGGTAGAGGTAGGGAGGGAAAGATAGGGCTAAGAGAACCATTGCAGGGTCAAAATTTACCAACTGCTTCCACCAGAAGCAGAAAAGATATTTGCCATCTCTAAGTTATGTTCCCATAGCTAATCTACTAGCGTAAAAATAGGCAACAGGAGGCCATTAATCACCTATATTTATACCCACTACATTTTACAAAAAGGACAATAAGGTAGTAAGATCATACATGAAAAAAAGGCATAGGCTCGGAGCTAAGCAAACGTAGGTTCAAATCTTCACCATACTACTACCTTAGGTAACCTTGGGAAGGCCTTTGGAAGATTTGAATTTTAGAATTTGTAAAATGAGGATAATAATTAACACTTACAACATAGGGCTATTGTGTGGTTTAAATAAAATGGTACATACAGAATGCTAATAGGTATACCAATGTTCATAGGTGCATTAGTCAAAATAGCCAAAATGTGGGAAAAACCCAATAGTCCACCAATGGATGAATGGATAAACAACATGTGGCAAATACATATAATTGACTATTATTCAGTATTTTAAAAAAGAATGAAATTCTGGTTCAAGCTACAACATGGATGAACCGTGAAAGCATTATGCTAAGAGAAATAAACCAGACACAAAAGGACAAATATTGCATGACTCTGCTTACATGAGGCACCTAGGATAGGCAAATTCACAGAGGCAAAAGGTGATGGTTACCAAGGGCTAAGGGTATAGGAAAATAGGGAGTTTATGTTTGGATGATGGCAAAGTGCTGGAAATAGATGATTGTGATGACTGCACAGCCTTGAGAATGTATTCAATACCCCAGAGTTGTATACTTGAAAATGAGTAAAATTAAAATTAAAAAAATCAAAATGGTAAATGTTACGGCATGTATATTTTATCACAATAAAAAAAAAAGAAAAGAAACAAAGCAGAAATGCTAGTTGAATGCCTGATACATAGCATGTGGTCAACAGATAGTAAAGCTATAGTTACATCCCACCCAGACTATTTTACCTGTTCCAAGAAATGAAGTGACAAGTTGATATACTTGGCCTCTGTTAGAAGCTGGCCCCCTACTCCAGTCTTTGCAACTCGCTCTGAACCAGCCAGATCAACCAAATGGAGTTTGGCATGTCGCACAGTTGTAGAACCTGGCTCCTTGCTTGACAAATGAATAGTAAAAATGCAGTGGGAACGGGTGGAAGCTTGGTTCATAGGTGTCTACAAAAAATTGCAAAACAAAAATAATTTGACCAATGACAATCTTTGAAGAACATCAAGATATTTCAATAAATATTTCTAATGCTAAGACATTCCTCATGAAGCTAACACTGTCAACTGGATTAAAATCACTTATAGCTGAGACCTTTAAAGTAAGTTCTATTTAATGTACTACCTCTTGGATTACTGATAAAAAATGTGGATGGGTAAACTCAGAAGTGATAACTTTATTTCATTACTTGACTACCATACATACCTTAACCTTGGCTAGCCATACTGAAAATGCTTAATCTAATGGGAAAAGAGGTGAGAATGTGTGTATTAAGAGAATTCATTACCAAATTGTAAACATAATCTATAGACAAGAAGTCCTATCGTCACTACTACCATTCAACACTAAATTGAAGGCCCTAGACAATATAATAAATAAGAAAAATTAATAGAAGGCATAACTATAGGGAAAGAAGAAATTAAAATGTCATTATGTGCAAAAAATATGGTGGTCTACATAGAAAATGTAAGACATCTCCATACAAAATGCTAAGAACGAAAAAGCTTAGCAGGGCTGCCAGATGTAAGATCGATATTAAAAATCAACGAAGTTCTAATAACCTGACAACAATTAATCAGAAAATATAATATTATTCACAGTAACAACAAAGAATGAGATAATCAGGGATTAATAGCATAAATATATAATTTATAGTGAAATGATGAGATAATATTAAAGGACACAAAAAGAAAACCTGAATAAATGGTGTGCTAGATATTAATATACCATTTTGTAGGTGGAAAAACTCAAAATTAACCTACATATGGATCTCTATATATTCAGTGCAATTGGAATTAAAATGCCACAGGTTTTGCTCAGAAAAAGACAAACGAACTGATTCTAAAAATCAGATGAAAAAAAATCTTCAAAAAAATGAAAAGTAATTCTGTGAAAGAACCAGGATAGGGACTTGCCCTGCCATCTGTCAAGGTATACCATAAAGTCACAGTAATTAGAACAGTGTGGTTTAGGTGCGGGAGCAGACAACTGGGTTAGTGGGACATACTGTGCTAATCGAGGAACAATGTATAGGATAGAGGTGATATCACACCACGATGGAGAAAGGGGTCACTAATTAATAAACGGTGCTGGAATAGCCAGCCGTCCATCTTGAAAAAATAGATGGCTTTCACCCACTGTACGTACACATAAATTCCAGAATTGATTAAAGTCTGGGGTAACTTAACACTAATACAGAAAACATGGAAGTATATTGTAATCAACCTAAGGAGCTAATTAATACTTTAAGACAAGATATAAAGCACAAAAATGAATTGATTTAAAATATTTGACCCAAATAATTAAAACTTTAAAAATTTCTGTGTGATAAAATCCACCATAAAGTTAAAACACTAGAAGATATTTATAATTATATAGCTGACAAAAGCTTAATATTAGAAATAAAGGACTACCATAAATCAATAAGAAAAAGACAGACAACTCAGAAACATATAACAAGCGATATGAATAGGCGACTTATAAGGAAGAAACCTCAAAATAGTTAATAATATTTGAAAAAAATGATCAAATTTATAAGTGATCAGGACTACATAACTTAAAACCATAATCTCACACTTGTCAGACTGGCAAAATTAAAAAAAGCCCAAAGTCTAACAAAACAAGTGTTGGTAAGGATATAAAGAAATGGGAACTTTTACATATTGCTGATGGAAATATAAGTGAAGAACAATTTTTGAGTGCTATTTGACAATTTGTGACAAAGTTGCAAATACATATGACTCATAAACCAACAATAAACTACTGGATTTATTTTTGGGAGAGAAATCTTGGGCAGATATACCAGGAGACATATGTATAAGGACATTAAATGCAACATTATTTAGGTAGCAAGAAATTGGTACAAGATGTACAATTTAAGTGAACATCCATGGCAGAAAACATGAGTAACCTGGGGTAATTATAATGACAGAGATGTTAGAATAGAGTAACTTTTGAATAGATGATATGGATAGATTTCCAAAATAGTGCTGAGGGCTATTCACAACAGCAAAATCATGGAACCAAACCAGATGCCCATTGATGGTAGACTGGATAAAGAAAATGTACATATACACTATGGAATACGATGTAGTCATTAAAAAGAATGAAATTATGACATTTGCAGCAACATGGATGCAGCTGGAGACAATCATTCTAAATGAAATATCACAAAACCAAACAAAAAACCCCCTGGAATACCACACATTCTTACTCATAAGTGGGAACTGAACACTGGGCACACATGGGCACAAGGATGGGAACAACAGACACTGGGCACTGCTAAAGGAGGGAAGGAGAGAAAGGGAATAAGGAATGCAAAGCCATCCACTGAGTACCAGGCTCACTACTCGGGGGAATGGAACCCAACCCTCACCCTCATGCAATATACCTACATAACAAATCCTCACACATACCCATGATACTAAATTTTTAAAAAAAAGTTATATTCAGAGGATGCTTATTAAAGTTTGATATTTCTTTTTTCCCAGTCTTATTGATGTAAATTGGCAAATAAAATGTATATGTTTAAGGTAAAAAATTACCAGTGTTGAGGAAAAATAGCAAGTGAAAGAATGATATGAACACTATCCTAGAATTTACATAATTAAAAAAGCAATGTTATCTATTGTTCATGAAGCTATAACTTGGTCGTTAAGTATAAAAACAAGGACCAGAAAAATATTGCAGATTAATGATAGTGGTTGCCTTTGTGAGGGATGGAAGAGAAAGGCCCAAAAGGGATTTCAGCTCTATCTGCAATATCTTATTTCTTTTATTAAGAATTATTAGCAGCAAGCCCTGGACTGTAAACACATAAGTGTTGGTCACACTATTCTCTGTACGTTCTTATGTTTTCCTTTTTTTTTTCTTACAAGAAAGAACTTAATCTGACTCAAGATGCAAGTGACAAGTTCGTAGTAACATCCTTTCAAACAAGAAAAAAACTAAAAATATTCCAAGTGAATATTCACGTGGGTAAATATATTCGGATCTCCACCTTTGCAAATGGGATTTAACCAAATAATTTCAATATGTATGCACATGTATGAAGATAGGGTAACATATCTGGATGATATTTAAGCCAGAAATTATTTCTGTAAATAAAATTCTTGATATACACCATAGCTGACTTTCATAAACTAGCAAAATATACAGATGTCAAAATGTTGGAATAGTTTTGGTGATGATGTAGCTAGTGAGTTAAACAGGCTGAAAATTTGACCCATTATTGTTGCCACAAGAACTATACCCAAACCTAGCCAGTGTGTGATTTTGCATGCTAAAGTGGATCAGCAAATAACTGTGCATGTAAAACCGCAAACTCAAATTTAGAACCTAAGTTGAGGTGTTTTGGAAGTGACTGGAAGTTATTTGCAGAACTTAAACATGGGTTTCATTTCACTGTTATAGTCACACAACAATAAATCCTACAGTACTGTAATGAAAGTCAAATTGACAATCGATATAAATGGATAACATAGAGATGACCCTCAACAGCTGTCTTCACCTTCAATACTGTTGTGCTGAAACCATAAGACAATGTAGATCATTAACAAATATTGAAAGAGTGCACCCATTTCAAAGGAAGATGAGATTTACATAAACCAAAATTGTATATTCGGGAGTCTATAATTAAAATGCAGTAATATGCCGTAGGAGTCCATGCCTACAGTTTTGTAACTTCTCATAAATATTTTCTGCATGAAGTAGCAGTTGGTGTCCTCTTAGATAAAATTTTCTCAAACCTCAGAAAACATTCTTTATGTGGATCTCTTTAAGTGTGATTGGATGTGCTGGTATCTGCTCTGTGTTTATTTAAGGATGTCTTTATGTCTCATAGGCATGGTCCTATTTTTGTCCTTTTAAAGGTAAAATTGTATTAAAATGTTTCTGAGACTGTCTAAGAACAGATGGCACCATTTAGGCAGATTCATTCAAATTTAAGCACACATTTTAAACAAATGTGCTTTTGGCACTAGAGGCTGAGCCGCTGGAAAAATTCTAGGGATGATTAATCATCCGTATGCAGAGCTTTTACATTTCATATGTCTATGTAAACAACTATGTTAGGCAGTACAGAGACAAGAAGGAATATAAGACGTGGACCTTACCCTCAAAAAACTTATAATCTAGTCAGGATCTAAAGCCAAAATGAGTGAAATAGAGTGAATACAAAATGAGAAAGGCAAAATATGCAGTGAAGAGCGCAATCTATTCTCAGCACTGAGCATCTTGAACCTCTAGGTAATGCCAACCATTCCTTCATTCTGGAGGTGCTCCACCCTCTGCTTACTGCCTGGTTTCTAAAGTCAAATACTGTTCAGGTACTATTTCTTTCTCTAACTTTTCTATCTTCCTTTCCTTTACTCTCTGCCCCCTTCTCTTCAGTTCCTAAAAATAGGTGTCCCCTAAGCTATGGCCACCATATTTCTTCCCCCTGGGAACTCATCCACAACTCCAACTCTCACTGCATAGGCTCTGTAGTATAGTAAAAATCATACACCAAAATCTCCGAATTTGGTATCAGGTAATCTGGTTTCAAGTCCTGATTCTGTCACTTATTAGTGTTGAAAGCTTAAGCAAATTTACATGAAGTAGTTTTGATTTTCATGTCTCTAGAATGTCATAATAAGACCTGCTTTGCTGCAGAGTTATACTAAATGCCAACTGACTTACCAATTGGTCTGCCAAGTGTAGACGGTCACTTTTACATATTTATTTACTTTTATTGATATCCAATAATATACAAATTTATGGGGTACATGTGATAATTTGATACATGCATACATGAACAAAGCAGGCTATTTAGGGTACCCATCACCTCAAACATTTATCGTTTCTTTGTGTTGGGAAGATTTCAACTATTCTAGATATTTGGAAATATATAATGAATTATTGTTTTTTTTTTAGAAGGTCATTTTAAAGGCCACTGTTGATATTCACTGTT